AATAGAGCAGGAGAAGTCAGGGAACAATTGTAGCAATGAGACAGAGTGCCAGAGAAGTTAAAGAAGAACTTTGGTTGTCCTGAAAAGCTGATCTGCTCTTTAGTTTGTCATAAAGGGTTCTGCAGTGTTTGACACTCCTTATCACATTACCAAAAGATGTGTCATCGAGGTCCTCCAACTTTCACTCCCTCAGAATTACAACCTTTAGTCTGTCCTCCAGAAAGCTCAGAGAGCATGTTGAGAGAGGAGTACCACCACTCTGTGTTGCAAAAGCATGAGTATCATGAGCAAGTGTAGGAATTGAGGAAGAGTTTTGTCTCTAAGCATCAGAAAATATTTTTCTAATCCTGTTACTGTAATGCTGACATCACAAGGAAATCCCTACAAAAACGTATAAAACTGCAGCTCAGTGTAGATGCTTATATAATTCCTCATGATTAAAAGTCTAATAGTAGAATTAAGTTGCATCTGAGTAAAACACGAACTACTCATTGTATTGCTGCCTCCAGAGATTTAGAAACAGAATTCTTTATTGACCCAGATGTATAATTTTTATAGTCATTAGACTAATTCACCAAATACAAAGCAATGATCAGCAAAACAGGAACTACACAGCCGTAATTAGTACCTGGGGGGTATCTTAATTAACTATAGAAAGTTGCTAACGATGTGGCCTGAGATGAATGATGAGCTAGTGATGGGTTCTGAGATAGTCTGCAATCTTGTGAGAGGATCTTTGTCAGAGAGGGATGCTGTAATTCTCTTTGCTACCCATCAGCCTCCATGGGCTCCAGGAAGTCGTTCAGTCCCACTCTGTGCTGTGAGGATGGATAATCTGCACTGTGGAAATGCCAGTGTCTCCTTTTTTGTGCATCTTGGTATTGTGAATTAAAGAAGATAAAGATCCCAACATTCAAATTAAATCAAGTGTATCTTTTGGTATGAAAACTTCATCTCTTTGCAGTGTAGTAAGTTGAGTGTGCAGCCAGACTTACCTAATTTGATGTGACTGACAACATTTCATTATGAAATTTGTTGAGTGCTTTTTGTGGCAAGGCCTAAAATAGTTTGTTCTGTGGACAAGACTGGGTAGACCTAAGGAGAGTCTAAGAAGACTAACTAGGTAAGTCTAGTTACTAAGTTGATCTAGAGACTAGCTTAGGTAAGGTGCTATGCTTGTGGTAGGAGTAGATGCTGCCAGCTGTTAAATGTTTAATGACTATGTAAACTACATAACCGTGTGTTTTAATAGCAAAAGATGGGTTAAAGAAACTGCATCTACACTGCCAACAGAACTGCAGCTCTTCAGTAGCTGTTGTTCTTGAGCAGGACAAACTGTTTACTGATGGCTTGTGTGGGCAGTTGCAAGGATTGAGAAACCCTTCCTGTTGAGATAAGCTGCACTGTGCTGCCCGTGGGCAGCTGTGCAGCCCTGCTTGCACAATGCCCTGCTTGTGGAGCTGTTGTTTGACTTATCGCTGCCTGGTTGCATCATTTTTGTCTCCTGGGTTTGGGGAGAAGTTGGCTGCCGATAAGAGTTGAATCCGGGCTTTCCCTGTGCCTATTGCTAGGAGAACAGGGTGTGAGATGGGGACAGCAGGCAGGTGGTGGTGCACAGGAGAGGGGCATGACCTCTCTGGGGAGGCCAGCTGTCCCCGAGCCCACCCAGGCTCCGTTACTCATCTGTTTGGTAAACTGCCTAGTGTTGTAAAGCTTGAATTTGAAGGCTGGATTATAAATACCACAGTTCTTGTCCAAGTAGTAAAAGCATGAGTAAAACACAATTTGGCAATTGTTTTGTCTTGACAGTTGCAATGGCATTTGAAACTGATGTGCTATGATTGCACTAGTCAGGGTGTTTATGGGATGCTCTGCTTTATGGTGCAAGTGGTCTAGTGTATGAACAGAAAGAAACACGACAGCTTTAGTTTTTGAACTGGCTTTCTGTCTGAAAATCTGCTCCTTTTCTGTTTTGACAGTGGAAAACTCTTTTCTTTACCACTCTCACCATAAATAATGAATTGTGTATGCAAATACACTTTGGGTACTTCTGGACAACTTTAGCTGAGATTTCAGTTACCTGGGACTTGTATTCTAAACACTCATGAAACCATTTCTTGCAACCCTTCCCTTCTGTGCTGTTCCTTCAGGGAGAGAGAGTCAAGTAAACTTGGAGGATTTTGCTTACAACTCTGCTGTGGAGTACCTGGTGTTTTGAGTTACTGTAGCAAGGCTCTGCACCCAGCTTCCAGCCTTGCTTCAGCTTCTATAACTTCTCCTTTTGGTCTCAGTGAATGCTTATTTTCTTAAAACTCAAATATAGTGGATATGTTGAATTTACTGGCATGAAGGATGCTACAAGGAGAAGCTTAGCAAACTACAAAAATGTGTGGCTGCGTTCCAGACGAGGATACATTAGAGCTGAGCCTCTTTGAGTTGTGCACCCTTGAGTAATCAGCTAATCAAGCCTTTGCTGCTGGTGTCAGACTCCCTGGTGCTGCTGAGGCTGAAGTGTGCCCGTGGTGCCTGCAGTGCAGACAGCCGTGTGTTCCCTGCTGCGCCCCGACATGGAGCTGGCAATTGGCAGGCGCGGTTGCGTGCGGTCCCTTGGCCTCACGGACGTTGTGTTTGTGTTGCAATCCTTGCTGAAAGCCTTGCCTGATCTTTCTGGGGCAACAGCAGATAGGAGCTATAAATTGTCAGCTTGATTTTCCGCTCTGTCCGTGAGCATAGGTCAAAGACCTGGAATAAAACCTGTGGGACAAAGTTCAAGCCAAGCTGTTGGTCACAGGGTTCTGCCTGCTGCTTGCTCATGGGCTGACACACAGGGTGTTAATGACTCAGGGTTTAGATTTCTCGTGTCCATGGAAGCCTTGGTTTAGTGGGATACAGTTGCCTGCACTTCCCCCGGAGGGGGGGTGGATGCTGAATCCCAGACTGGAGAGTTTCCCTGTGCCTCATGGAAGAAAGCAGGCTTGCTCTCATGATCATGAACACATCATTACTGGAAGGCTTGTTAGGAAGCTTGGAGGAATTTAGGAGGAGAGTGTTGGAACACTGGTTTTATCTGTTTCCTCTTCTGTCACTGTTAGGAGGAAAGCAGTAATTAATACAGCTGGGTGTGAAATGCAGCATTTTCTGTTGGCTCTGACTTCTTTCTGCTATTCAATTTCTAGGCTTAGCACAGACGGCAGCAGTCAAGTCTTTCAGTTAGTTCAGAATCCTTCTTAGGAGGAAAAAATTTCAGTTATGATCTTTACTGAACTTAGCTTTCTTACCTTGAAGATCTAACAGCGTAATATAGGAGTAATTAATCTTTTTTTTTTTTTAATTGAGTGCTTAATGTGCTGATATTGGCAAAGAATCTGGGAACATGAACTCTGGGTGGCAACTTCATAAGTTTATAGCTAAAGGAGAAATAGCTTGAAAGTTTGCTCACTTTCTAAATGGTGTCCAAAATACACAGTTCTAGAAAGTTCCTGGGAGGCACTGTTTCAATCCTTAATCTGACTTTATTAGGATGATTTGGGGGTGGGGTGTGTGAGCCTTGCTGGAGCAGCAGTTTAAAGTGAAATGTTCTCTGTCAACTCACGCACTGTGAGTGTGACACCTTCAGCTGAGGTGTTAGATAAGACCAGGAAATAGTATCTTAAAAATTTGATGTTAGAAAAAGCAACTCAATAAAATCCTAGTGATGGTTGGTCTTTGTGGGGTTTGTCTGGAAATTTTTTTAACATTGTTTCTTGAATAAATTATCATGATTGATAGGAGACAGCAAAGGGGTAAGCATGGCAGAGAATGAAATGGAAGGCTGTTTTTTTAATATCTCCTGGAGGAATGCTTAGGAAAGAACGTTTTCTGAGTTCTGGAAGTGGGCAGTTTTTTTACCCAAAGCAATTTATTCTTTTAAACAATAATACTGTATATTTCCACCACAACGTTGGTTACTTAAGAGGTCATTGAGAGGTTTCCACTGAGTCAGGTGGTTTTGAGTCAGAATTTTAACTTGAGGTTGTATTTTGTTTGTGTTTCTTGATGATGAAAAGAGTATAAGGAGCATAAAGAATGTGCTCATGTCCAAAAGCAGCTAATGCACTTGGCAATCTTTGTAAGAGGGTATTTGTCCAGTAAACATAATGTAATAGGATCTAGGAGATTCCCAGATGTAGATGATGTGCTGTAATGGAAATTGTGTTAAGGCTTCACTAATGCTTTGAGAAGTCTTCAGCTGCAGAGCTTTAAAGGTGCTTTTTATGGTCAATGTATGTGATTCACCATCTTGTAAAATATCTCAAGACTAAACGAGTTGTCATTTTTTCAGTCTTGCTACGAAGTTCAGTGCTTTGCATTACTCTTTAAGTGAAATGGGGGATGTTGTCTTCTAAAGTAGCAGTTAAATGGCTTTAAAGAAAAATCCAATTATGCCACTTCAGTCACTGCTTAAAATACAGCATCCACTGGCCTGTTGTGGTGTGACAGTAGGAAGATTAATAGGAGAGTATATTGGTCTCAAGAATTTTGAGATCATCCTTTTGTCATGGGAAATCTCTCCAGTCTCCCAGTAAAACCAAATTTGGCTAATTCGATCCAAGTTTTCTCTGTGGTTACTGAAAATTATTTTGAATTTTACTTGCTTCTTGACAGAAAAACGTTCCAAGTATATCAGTTTGTTAAATTTAGTTCTATGAGGATCATGCACTGCTGCTTTTAGATTTCTTTTAAACTGGAGGAGTCATTTAAATTATGCCCTGTTAAAACAAAAGCAGAACGCATGCTGAACAGCTTTTGCACTGCTTTTTATATGTTCAGGAGACCCAGTTACTAGAAATAGACACTTAAATTAAAAATAGGTCAATTGTCATGTATAGATAGTTTAAATGAACCACACAGAGCTCATATTGGATAGATAGAAAATTGGTGTGTCTACTAGTATGCAGTGACATGATAATAATCAGAAGACTTTTGTTTCATTCCAGATTTTTCTTTGCTTTGCTTTACAGGAAAATCTTCACTGACGATCCAGTTTGTGGAAGGACAGTTTGTTGATTCATATGATCCAACCATAGAGAACAGTAAGTAAATAACTTCCAAGCTCCTCTTCTGTACCAAGCTAACTTGTATCAGAAGCCATTGGGGTTGTACATATTACTTATGTGGGTATTTACATATTAACATTAAAGTCCATTAATTACCACAGAAGTATTATTATTCTTTTGAACCAATGCTACATTGCTGCAGCGTGGAAATCACTGTGTGCATATTTCTCTAGACAGCTGAACTTTTAACATTAAATGAAGAGGTACTTAATGAATCTGGCTAAAATGCACCTCCTTGTATTTTATGTGTGTTGTTGAGCATCTGCTTCCCCTGATGTACTTGTGGCACTTTAAATTCCTTACATCACACTATATGAAAATGTGCCACCAAATACAAGTATTTCAGAGTCTCACATAAGGTCAGTATATCCAGATGAACAGAAAGCCAGCAATATCCATCAGGATTAAACCACTTAGAAGGTAGGCTGTGTGGCTATGATAGCATGATAATCGTTTAAATTCCTCCTTTCCAGCAGCTGGATAACAAGGCTGCAACACAATCAGGTTGCTGCAAATACTGGGTATTTGACTTGTCAAGTGGTTTTTTTTCTCTTAGCAGTTCTTTTAAAAATAATTTTAGTACCTTTGTGAGTAGCTGGCATAGCAGGTGAGTAAAGACACTAATGCTAAAAATGCTGCCAAGAGCAAAAAGTCATTTCAGAGGTTACCTGGCATTCATTACAGTCCAGCCACCTCTTTCTGAGCTAGCAGTGGCCATAAAGTACTTCAACAACTGTAGTGCTGCGCTGAGTAACTTGATCATGTTGGCTTACTTTAGTCATGTGGCAAATAAAAGTGATTTCATGATCGTAGCCCTGGGGTTCTTGTATTTTAATGACTTGAGTAGCACACATTTTTAGTGTTTTGAACTTATGCAGTAGGATGTTAAGTCTGTGTGATACTCTGGAAATTTGAATGAAGCAATCAGCAGAACAAGGTTGGGTTTTTTAATATATATATGTGGTATATAATTACATCAGTAGCTATCAGTATATTTTACTTGGGATTACTTTATTGCTTAGAACTGAAATTCAAATGCTATTTTTTGAGAAACTCTAAATTTCCTTTAGCAAGTCAGAGTGGATAATTTGGCCCTTGGTCTGAATGTTAGCTCTTATACAGATATTAATACTAACACTTTCCATCATCCTTTTTTACTTTGTTTGAATTATAAGTCAGGTATGTCTTGAATTAAAGCTGCTAGCAAAATACTGGGGTTTAAGCTTCTGTGTTTATAATCTTAATTCAGTTGGGGCAGGTTATTTTTCACTGTGCCATATAAATGCAAATTATTTCAAGTAATCTTTTAGTTTTATGCAGCTGCATGTGAATGAATAAAGACTGAGAGACACAAAGGCTTTACAAAATACTGAATCTGTGTCTTTTTTTAGGATTTTGACACCTTGGTATAAGATCTGTCTTGTTTCATCCTTTACCTGTTGTCTTTAGCTGCTGTTTGTAACTTCTGTAGTTGTGTTGTCACAACTTCAGCATTTCTGAACCACACAAAAATACGCTGTGGATGAATTTTGCTCTTATTTGACTCTCCTAGTCTGCACTGTGTGCTTGATCTGAATTCTAAGCATTGAGCATATCCTGGCCGTGAAGACTTGCTGGGAGGGGGCATCTTGAAAAGCCTTAACTTTTCACATGGTTTCTTTCTTGTATGGAAAATAAACATCATTCATTTGGTGTAAGTCTTGTGATCTGTGGCATGGTTGGAGGAATTTGCTTTCTGAAAGGTAGAGAATTGAAGGGTCCTTCTGACATCAGAAAATGTTGCTGGGAAGTAAAGGTTGAAAAGATAAAAGTTATGCCCTGGGGCTCAGAACAGTGGGAAGTCTGTCCCATCTTTAAGTCCCAGAAGGCCTGATAGAGATAATGTCTTAAAAATGCTTCTGTGAACAACAGACAAGAGAACACACTCTAATTTAACACTAAAATTTAAAACTTACTGTTTTTTTTTTTTTTTTTAAGACAGATGTGAAACTAGTTTTAATAGGTTAAGTAAAAATAATTCTTTTGACTTAGAATTTTTTAGTCATTAGGTTTTTTTTCCCAAATAGAAATCTTTGTTCAGTGAAGTCTTTGGATGCTCCCAGCTGTGTTTCTGATTCTGTGTAGGGTCATAAGATGCAAAGTACATGAGCAACTCTTAGACTTTTCCTAGCTTGTGATTTCACATTTGGTGGACAGTGTTGGCAAAAAGAGTTGAAAACTCCAGGTTCTTATACTATGGACAGTGTTAGAGAATGTTGCCTTTTTCCAGGCCATTATAATAAGTTGTAAAACGTTTTCAGTTTCATCTGGTGATTAGGTCTACACATGTAACAAAACTTGGACATGAAAAGCATACGTGGGAAAGGATAGTCCGGCCTAGGTGATTTCTGTTTTGTCTCCAGAAAATTGTTGTTGATAATTTGTTACATTATTCTACCAGCAGTGAAGAAAGGCTAGAAAGCTGCAGTACTGTTGGTAATGCAATCTTTATAATTTTTGTCCTCAAATAATAAAACTTGCACAAAATATTGACTGCAAAGCTAAATGTATGTATGTAAGGCAAGCTGTAATCATGCTCTTACAGAACAAGTTGTGTAGTTTATAAGCCTTGAGCAATAGGAGTAAGACCTAATATTGTAGAAGTACCAGGTTTTACGTATGAAAATCTCTGCCTTTGGAAGTGATAAATGGAAAATAAGGTGCCTCAGATTTTGCTTATTGTTTGTGAAGGTTAGGACAGCTTCACTGCTACATTTTCCTTTGCTTATATTGCGTTTGCACCAGAAAAGTGAATTTATTTCTGTGAAGGGGCATGCTGAATTCTGTTCCTTCTACCAAACTTGTGTGTCAGGAAAAGTAACTTGTATCCTTTTGTGGCAGCAGTGGAGGTGAGAGATAATTGCTTCAGGAAGAGACTTTCCCTGTCTGAATGTCCCAACAGGAGTGACATTCAATGAGTGGCTATTCTTGAGACAGCCAGGTTGAGAAACGAGTGGAACTGCTACTCACAGGAATGTTGGAAAGAGAAGAAAGATCTTGGAGAGCAGGAATGTGTGCAGGGAATCTGTGTGGACCTTGGGCTGGATGGGGCTTTGCAGTCAGATCAGCTCACATGAACTAAGACCAGTGCAAATTAAAATGCAACAATTTTAGAGGAATGAAAACTAGAACCTGAATTGGAAACTGAAATAGGTCAGAAGGATCAGGTAATGAAGATGTGCACTTAACTCCACCCACATCATCTTTGCAGGGATGTCTTGTGTTGCAAGTAAGATGACTTGAGTGCCCAGGTGTCAAATGTGTCCTCCAAAGCCTGCCTGGCTGCTTTTTGATTTTTGCTGCAGTTTTAGAGGGCCTTCTAGCACTGTTTCACAGCTGTGTGATCTTCCTTTCTCCCCTAAATTGCCTCACTAGCCTCCCTAAGGAACGGAACATCTTCCTCCATGCTTCCTGCCTCCATCCCAAGTTTTTTAATACAAACGTGAGTAGAAGCATATTAGAAAGGAGCAGAGGGCTGGAGGACCCCTACTAGTGGAGGGGCTCCTGTAGGTTTAGATGAGTCTGACAGAGAATCTTCAAGGCTAAACTTCTACACATGCCTTGGCAACTGCACTGGAAGGGTGAACTGTGCTTCTCTGGAGCTGCTGGTGAGCAGCCTTCTAAGGGGTGCAAGCGAGACTTCTGAGGAAAACTAAAAATAGCTCTCCTGCATCACACATCTCAGTGTTGTGAAAGATGTCCTGGTAGATTAGTGGCAGGCATTGACTTTGGAATGCAAGCCAGTAGAAGGAGATGCAGGAGGTGGTAACCAAGGAAAGCTTGTGAGGTGATTGTATTTAGCTGCCAGCCATGTTGTGCAATGATGTTACAGCACTCTTGTACCTTTCTTCAGTATCACTATTGATCTAAAGGCCTGCATTTCTTTGCCTGTTACTGTCTGGGGCTTTTTCCCTGGCATAATGGCTTGTTTCCACAGCAGCTGTCATGGAGTTGCACATGCAAATAATTTCATTCATGCTGGTCTAATTGCAATGTACTTCATCTTCAGGTAGCCATGATCACTGGAGTTGTGTTGCAAGGTGAAAGAATGTCCAAAATCCATGTTCCAGTTGATGAGCAGTGTTTTGGAGATGCTCACATTATGATTTAATGTCAGGTCAGGTCTGCTGAAAAGTGTCTTTGGCCTACTAGGAAGAGCCAAATTGTCCAGGGATTGTATTGCTTGTCTTGTGCACAAGCACAGCAGAAGTCCTAGGATGATAGGTGATGGAATTGGAAGCGAACACTTTGGCTGGATCAAGGGGACCAAGTTTTTCACAAAATTAAATTCTTAACTAGGAATGGTTTTAAAAAGCTTCAGCAAAGAAATGAAACTTATTGGTTGTGACTTCATCGAAGCAGATTTGTCTTCACACTAAGCTGTGCTTAGTGCTGCAAGGCTCTGCTCTGTACTTACAGCTCTCCTCACCAGGCTGTGCTGACTCCTTCACTGTTTCCCTTCTCCTGTCTCTGTCACACTGTGCTTTCAGTAATGATGATGATGACATCATTGCTGTGTCTCTTCCAGGCTTTTAGAATAGTCTGAAAAAACTGCCGTCTGTCCCTTTTTAAATATTAACTTCATGATGCCCTTGAAGTTACTTTGCAGATGCTTTGATGCGTATGTGAAGTGTCAGGAGACTGGAGAGGCTGTTACTCGCACACCTGTAAAGGCAGTGTGTCTCCAGAGGAGTCTGTTTTCCCTCTGACTCCAAGCAGTGATATTGTATATTGCAACACAGCCTGCTAATATCTGTTCAAACAGTTTGTCCCCATCACAGCATTCATCCAAGGCAAAGAGCCATTGTGGATCCATGTTTCATAACCTAAAACTTCTAGTTGTTTGCAGCAATAACAGCAGCATCCAGATTTGAGGGCAGCACATGTGCTAAAGCAGCTTTCTCAGGGGATAACCAGGGTAAGGCAGGAGCTTTCTTTGAGGCTCTATTTCAAATATCATTTGCTGATTTTGTAATGGAAACTATAGGTACACTTTACACTGTTGATTTAGACGCTGTTAGGTTGGCTTTGCTGTTTGAATTGCTCCTTTTTTTCGAGGATTGGATTTATGAGGTGGGTTGAAACCTCCAGTTTCAGCTATTTCAGCCCACTTATTCAAGATAATGCTCACGTTGTGGGGACTTGACAGAGGGACAAGCTTGGGCTGGGAGGAGGAAAGTTGGCCAATTCCATCTACTTGAGGCGTGGGCAGGGACTGCCCAGCGGGGTCAGGAACGTTCAGCTGTGCAGCTTTGGGAAGCTTTGGCCAACTCAGCTACCTAAGTGACCTGTTCATCTGACTCTGTTTCCCTGCTCATCACTGCAGTGGCAGATGAGGTTTCTGAGGACTGCTACTAGTTGGGAAAACCACCCCAACTAGAGGATAACACAGACTTTACTCAGTGTGTCAGTACTGTGCAGCAGTGGTGTCTGGAGTGTGTCTCGAAGGCCACATGAGATTTCCAGAGCCAGGTTTATGTGCTCTGGTTGGGACATTATTCCTGCAGGAGCTGTGACACTGTTTGCTTTTGCAGTTGCATAACACAAACACTGGGTAAGATTCCTCGGCTCACAGCGCGTTGGCATTTCATGAATCCGAGGAAGAGCAGCAATTCTCATCACTTTTAGGGACTGAATGTACTTTGTGACTGGGGACTGCATAGGCTGGTAGCTGCAGCAAATGTGAAAGTAACATGGTGAACTTAGCTAATTGTTATCATTTGGGTTTAATATAATCATACGTTCTGTGTGTTTTAGCTCTCAGCGATTTTTCCTTTTTTCAGTCCAGATCACTTACTTCGTGGTATTTACATTTAGGAAATTGATCTTGCTAAAATGTTTGGTAACCAAGGAGAAGACCCTATAATAAGTTCAAACTTAGCTTTGATGCCAGTTGAATTTAAGTGTCTTTTGTTACCACAGATTACAATTGTCTGGATCTTGTAGAAATGCATGTAAATCCCCCTTTTTATTCCTCTTGTTCCTTCTTTTACTTAAGAGAGCGAAGAATAAGCTGCTGCATCCAGAGTGAGAATCATCTGAAATCTTAAATTCAGTTTCTGAGTTTTGCTACCTGCAATAGACTTGCATCTGATTAGCCTTTTATTACTCCTTAAAAACCTGTAACTGGAGTTCTTTGCTTCGTGCCTTGGCTGATTGATAGCACAGATGAGTGACTTCTGATCTCTTCTTTGTGTGTAATTCTGATCTGTTTATGTATTTCTTTTTCTAGCTTTTACAAAACTGATCACAGTAAATGGCCAAGAATATCATCTTCAGCTGGTTGACACTGCTGGCCAGGTAAGTTACCTTTCTTTGAATCTTTCTTCTAAGTTATGACAACAGGTATTGGTATTCCTGTTGAGCTAAAGTGGTAGTGACTGTGCGTTCAGAGGTGAAAGTTAACTTAAAAACGATCCTGACTTCTTGTTTAATCACTAAAGAACTTTTTCGATAGCATTTATTTGAAAGTTTTGGTTTGTGTTTTGTTACTGGGTTGGTTTTTTTTCCTATCTATTGAATGAGTACCTAAAAATGGGAAGAGGAAACTACTGTAACTTTGATGTCCCAAAAGTTCATCAGTAATATATAATATTTACAGAGTAAATGAGCAGTCTTGCTTTAGATGAAAAAGGGTGCTTCAGTAAACCATGGAGGAATTTTTCATAGCTTTTTAGTATTTGTCTGCTCCAGCTACACCACCATGACTTGTATCCATGGAGCAGTCATGGGGAGCAGACAGATTCATGTAGGTGGTACTTACTGAGTTAGCAATAAACTGCTGCAGTTTGTCTGCATTTTAACGTGATGGTTCACGTGTGCGTCCGAGCTGCACGTAATGACAGGGGGTGAGGAGACAGGGAGCACGTGTCCTGCAGCATGCTGGGGAGCTCTGGGAACTGCAGCTGTTCATTATTTACAGGTACAAGAGTTCATTACATGCTGCTGCTTGGCTGAACCCATGCACAAGAGTGCTGTGTCTGTTGAGAGACTCTGTATGAGGGAAAAAACTCATCAGGGACCACTAATTAGACCTCTGTATTTTTATCCTAAATTTATTTTTTTTTTCTTTGCTTACATGCTCTTGCCTTCCATGATCTCATACCTGTATTTTTATCCTAAATTTATTTTTTTTTTCTTTGCTTACATGCTCTTGCCTTCCATGATCTCATACTATGCCTATGGGTTTTTCCAAACTATGAGTAGTGTTAAACAGCTTACATGATCTCATACTATGCCTATGGGTTTTTCCAAACTATGAGTAGTGTTAAACAGTGTTAGTGTTGTAAAATACACTGCCAGTACTTAAGGCTTTAAAGCTGCAGGATACCTGCTCCTAGCTGTGAGACTGTTCAGAGGGGTTGTAACTTTCTAGGTATGTTTGATTGCTTTCTTGGAAGAGAGCTGTGTGACTGGGGACTAGCCATGCTGTATTTATATGGTGTCAGCCCTTGGTGCTCATCAGCAGCATGTGTAATCACTCAGAGGTATGTGAGCACAGCACTGGCCACAGGATTGCTGGATGGGGAATGCTGTGCAGAGGAGAGGGTGAGAGAGGGGCAGGCTGAGGAGTGTGAGCAGCAGAACGAGCTCCATAGGTGTCACTCAGTGCCATTGTAAGTGCACTTGCATTACAGCTCTGATTGTGTAGCACAGTGATAAAAGAAAAATTCCTCTTTGAGGAGGAAATTGCCTTCTGGGAAGGCAGTGTGACTCACCACTGACATACCTCTGTTGCTGAGGATTGATTTAATGTTATACAGTATTGTAGAACTTAAATAGCTGCTTTCCCAGCCTGTGGTTATTTTCAGATTTAATTCTTCATGGAATGATTTGAACTTTGATTTCTGGCACACAGGGTTAGAGGGGGGAGATGATGTTGGGTTATGGAAGGTGTGGCTTGGACAGATTTCTTTCTCAAGTCTCTCTTGCTTAATGGCCCATAGGGAGTCCTCATGTGTATACAGCACAGCAAGAATTGTATTGCAGATTTGTTAAATACTTTTGAAAACCTGGCTATGGCCTGAAAAGTTGTAGCAATGTTGTTTTATCACTTGACAGATTTCTTAATTTGACCCATAAGTTTCAGTGAGCATAGCAGCTTTCCTTCCATCTCCTAATGAGCTAAAAATAAAGTCATAAATTAGGAACAGTTGAGATTATGGCTCTTATTTTTCTTGGTATTCATCCTCTGTCCTGTGCCTCTTTACTTTTCTGGTTATTTACTGTGCTTTGTGCAGTTCAGTCCAACAGGGGTCTTGATACAGGGTCACAGAAGAGGAGTGTAAAGGGAAATCTTACCTAACACCAAATTCCAGCTGGGGCAGTCCTGGGAAATTCCGGGTAAAGTCAAGCCACTACAGAGTTGCACTTTCACCTTTTTTACACAGACTTAGCTCAGATCCCTTCTGTATTGACTTTGGGATTTCACGTCCAACTGGAGTGGCACTTTGGCATTTCAGAGAAGATGGGTGAGGGCTGCCCTCTGGGTAGCAATAAAGGCAAATAAGTGCAGCTTTTGCCAAGTGTTATTCTTTCAAACTTTTTTTGGCTGGATCTGTGAAGTTGATTTATAAAGAGTTTTTCCTCTTCTGCCAGTGAGGGAAGTTTGATTCCTTTTGGGTGTCTCAGATTTAAGCGATGTGATTGCACTGCTCCATCTGTTCAGCCATGACAATAACAGAGAGGTTATTTGATCTTCAGCTAAAATTAACATCTTCAAAAGCATAAGTTTAACAATTTGAGAACTCATACATTAGGAAGTATGGCTCTTGTCAAAATGGAAATGTTTCCTGGGAATGTCTGTTGGAACAGGTTTTTAACCTTGGATTCATAGTATTTGTGTTGCATTACCTGCAGTATATCAGTCTGGTTTGTTTGCCTATTTGGTCAGTCCCTTTTCTAGAGGGGTAATAAATTCACTGAGTAAGTTTCTGGTGGTTTTGTCTGGTTTTCTATTTATGTAAACACTTGTCCTGTAATGTAAACTTGCAGTTGGCATAAAGCAACTAATAACTGTATTTTTTGCACTTGATAAGCATAAGTTAGTAAGCCACAATTACTCACTTCCTACCAGATTCCTTAGGTAATTTAGATGTGATCAGTGTCATTTGAAATTACAAACTGCTAGATCCTGTCGTCAGCTGTTGAAATTAAAATTTTGAAATGTATCACCAGCAAGATAAGAGGCATAATTGCTAATTAGTGGTGGGACAGAGTGGATGTTTTGTACTAATACAAACAGATAATTAAGCAGGATAAGAGGATTGGGAAGAGCTTCAGCTCATCCATAGTCTTAGAGGGAATAAACCATAAAAGCTGTAGATCAAATTGTGGAGTATATACAGAGACTTAGAGCTTTCTCTAGGTTTGGTAAAGATGCTGCTTGTGACATTATGATAAAAAAATCTGAAAGTACTACCTATACAAAAGGTCTTAGAGATATGACTGCCTTACCTGATGGTGATCTCATGGCATCAAGGTCTGAACTGTGGCACCCTTAATTTTAACTGCAATATTCCTTCCACAGGATGAATACTCCATATTTCCTCAGACGTACTCCATAGACATCAATGGCTACATTCTTGTTTATTCAGTCACGTCAATAAAAAGGTAATAAAATCTGTTTGTGTTCTTCTCTTGAACTATTTTCTGGGTTTAGCACCTGCCTCTGCTGTACTTTGTGTGATTATTTCAATTAATCTTTCTCCTTTAGAAGTATAGTAGGAGTGAATATTAATGTTTTTTCAGAAATGTCCCCTTGGACCCAAGTGTCACAGACACTTTGCAGACTCATGTGCAAGGTGCCACGTAAGAAATGAGACAGTGTTAGACTGCATTGTTTTGAGGTGTAAGAAGAAGTACAAAGGATCATTACAGAAATGAGTTCATTGCTCTTGCATCAGATAGAAAGGCAGACATAAATATGAAGCTGAAGGGCACTGTACATTTATGTGAAGTACCCAGTTAGTCACTAGATCATTCCTTCAGCCTTGTAGCTTTTTACAGTACTGATATTCCTTTGACTTCTTATATTGAGTTGTCCTGATTAACTGTAGAAATCCTCATATAAACAGCAATAGATGGCTTTTGAACTGTAAACACTCTCCTGGCATGCTGCAGCAAATAATCCTCCCTGAAGGTTGTCCCAGAGTGTCCCTCTTGTTCTTGCTGTTCCCTGTCCAGAGTCCATCGTACCTGGAGTCACACAAGACACATCAGCCTCTGTGTGGCTTTGTCACCTTCTGTTACTTCCTCCCTTCCTCTGGTCATCTTGCTTTGTTTAAATAATGCTTATCATTGAGTAGGTGTTGATTTTCTGATATTGTACATCATCTTTATTAGGTCAGCTGAAATTTTCTGAAATTTTTGTTTGAAGAGAGTGATTAAGACCTTAGACCTTTTCAGTCTTATCAAGTACAAGAGAAATTGATGCTTCCCTTCTACTTCAAGGTAGTTAATCAGCTTTTTACAAGTGCTGGAGTGTTTCATATATTTTCCTCTGAATCAAACAAAACTGATCATTTCAAGCTCTTTGATAGACTGTCATAAAATACAGGTAAAGCAACTTGCCTGTTGACTCTTTTTCCTTCTCAGAGGAAGGATATAGTCTGGTTATAAATTTCTGCTGCTCGCAAGGTCTTTAATGTTGAACAGATTTCACAGTTCTTCATTCTTGGTTTTCATCTTCAGTTCTGAAGTAGAGAAGGGCAAGCACGTGTTAGGCTTTTATGTGTGTCTAGAGATGCTAAACTACCAAACTCTCTGGGTTTTTAGTGAGAAGTTCAGTGTTGGTGCTGGGTAACTTGTATGAAATAGGAGTCAGTATTCTCTGCCTAAGCAGACAATGCTCCACTCCTAAAACAAATACAAAAAGTTCACTGATAAATGGGTGCTGTGAGGACAGAGTGCCTTTGACTGAAACCAGTGTACATTACTTAGGGGATTCTGCAACCTGTGCTGTTCCCTGCTTGGCAGCTAAAGGGCATATTCTTTCTCAGCTGCTCCAGTTGTTGCCTCATTGATGTCTTGAGCTCACCAGGTGAAGAAATGAACATGTTTTCTGTGGTAGCATTCAATCAGTTAAACCAATTATGGTAAAAATACAAACAGGACAGACTAGGTTAAGGCTGTAGGTCAAAAGTCTTTTCATCAGTATTTAATCTTGATCAGTTTATTCCAAGTTTTTATTGTTGTTGTTGTTTCTTCCTTAAAATTTCAAAGTGTCCATGATCCTGTCCTGTTCAATTCTTGATGTTCTGTATCAAGACAGTGTTTAGGTGATAGGAAAGATCTTCCACAGTACTCTGGTAGCTTCGATGACTTGCCCAGACAATGAGATCAGTCTTCATCTGTCCTGACTTCTGTCCAAGTGTGTATATTGATCCAAATATTGATCCAGCTGGGTGAGAGCTTTGACAGCAGACTTAATAGAAATGCTCTTTTTAAAGTTATCAGCTTCCATGCTAACCTCCAGTGGGAAGTTTAAATAGGACTTGAATGAAAGCTAATGCCCTACATTTTTTATATTCCCAGGCTCTCAGCAGCAAGGTTACTGGAAGGCTTTTGCTCTAGTTCAGCTTAATTAAATTCCAATTTTGTATCTTGCTCTAGGTTCCATGATTTTGTGTAACACATTTATCTGACAGCTAGTAATGGGTTTTTTTTTTGTATTTCACACATTGAGCTGTTTGCTGTAACCCATTTGGTTGACAGAACTGGAAGGGACCTCTTACAGTCTCCAAATCTCACAGTTTCACAGCTAGATGTGATGGTGCTATTTTTGGATTGGTCAGTCCTTGCTCCTTTTTGTCCTTGCTCCTTTCAACATTATTAATTTGGAAAGCTTTCTAGAACATTAATTGGTCGAGCCAATTTCATTCCTGGCAGTTCTTAGCAACTTGTTTCTGTGTCAGAATTGTGTTGGAGTTTAAATAGCACTTCTCCTGTGGTTTCCATCTTGGTCTGTTAACAAGGATCAGCTTTTTATTTGTAGTATTTTCACTAAAAAAGGAATGTTGTGAGCAATTTCAGACAAGCAGATAGGTACCCAAAGTGGGGCAATGGAGAGCCCAGGTTCAAGAGCACCTGGCAGCACTGTACAGGGGAGCCTGAGCCAAGGACTTGCCAGGGTGCTGTGCTGTGGTGTTTTTCTGGCTTAGCTGGAAGCAGCACACCTAATAGGGGAAAGGAAACAGTCATTGTACTCTTGTAGGGATTCAGTTAGCCTCTGGCTAGGGTGCTAAGATTTTTTTCCTGTTGCTTCAGACTGAGAAACAGTTTTGTGGTCTGTAGCAGATGGTTTTTTTTGATGCATTTTTATTCTTTCAGTTTGCAGGGTTATGTAGTTCTGTTTGTGCTGATGCCTCTCAACTCTATCACAGCCAAGCTCCATTTAACTCTTATTTTCTTAATAATTATCATCATCCAAGATGAGTTCTCAAGACTAGAATTTCACTAATACTCTTTCAGCATAAGCTCCTTATGTCTCTAAAGTCCTTTCATTGATTTCACATTTTTCATTGATTCCATGTTTTCCACAGTGTAATCTGTAGTATCCTACTCAAGTTACCAGTAGCAATTCTTGCCAGAGTAACTCATGCTTCTGTTTACAAAGAACTCATTTTTGTGATAGGATACACTGAAACTATTAGCTGAGCATGGAGAAGCATTGTGTTCCACACAGCCTCAAATATTACTGCTGGAGTCAGACAACTTGACCTGCTTGACAGAAAATCCATCTTAAATGTGGTAGAGTTTATTGTTCTAGAAGGGAGAGGTTTTGCTGCTTTGAATGGTTTTTAGGCACTAGGTCTTTGATTTCTCTGAGCTGGAAGTGTGTTTGAGTGCTGCTCTATTTTTAAGAGTTTCAATTCTAATTGAAATGCAGTGCAAGTCAAGACACTGCCTGTAGCTAGCAACCTCAGAAACGGGAAAAGCTTTGGTCCCTTTTCTGTTGTCTAGTTGCGTGTCTCATCCCTGAGCCTATGCCTCTCTTAAATCCAGGTTGTGTACTTCATGTACCAGCATTTTTTCCATAGTGTAACCAGAGGAGTGTAACATCTGCTCTTCAGTCAACCCCGTTTATAGCTTGTTCTCAAAAGTACTGAATGTCAAATGCAGTGGATTTTGTTAGTGAGCTTTTTGACTTGGTATTCTACAGTACTGCTTCTTAACTCCTGTCATCCAAACTTCACCTGCGTGGTAGAGGAACAGACAAAGAGTATTTGAATAATCACTGTTTCAGTGCCATCTTGCTGATCAGTTTATTCACTTTCCATAGAAAGTTAGAATTTTGGCTCCTTTTGGCTTTTGCATAATAAAACTTAGTAATTATGTATGAACTAAATGTTCGTTAAAAACAATGATGGAGCTTGCCTAACTAATTACTTTTTCCTCCAATTTGCTTTAATTTGACATACTCATCCAGGATTGTTAGACTGCAGCAGTTAAATTTCTCACTGCAGCTACAAACCAGATGAGAGGTGGGAGGGACTTGGGGTGATTCTGTGTTAGATGCATCAGTCCTGGGTAATGTTATTTATTTCTGCAAGTACCATAACTGGGGAGGCTGTAAGGGTAGGCTCAGGCTGGTCTCTGCTGCTGCTGGGACCAGTCTGCTGTTGTTACACGAACGGGTAAGACTTTTCAGCATCTGTGTAGTTGTGCATACATAGAATAAGTTTTAAACACAACCTACATATGCATTTAATTGCTTGTGTATTGGGTATTGAGGATAAACATCAGAGTGCATGTGTGACTTCATCCCTTTATTTTGCAGTTTTGAAGTGATAAAAGTTATCCATGGCAAGTTATTGGATATGGTGGGAAAAGTCCAGTAAGTAGTGACACTTTCATCTCATTTCATTGCAGGCATGTTGCTAGTGCTTTGTTCAGTATACTGTAACTGTTCTGAAGTTCTGAACTTTCTTTCACAGAATACCCATTATGCTGGTTGGAAATAAAAAAGACCTGCATATGGAACGGTATGTGAACTCCAGAATGTGAGAAATGCAAGGCAGCAGCCTGCATTCCTGTGGCTGCAGCGTGCTGGGTTTGTTCTTGGCTTTCCAGAGCTAAAATCAAATTGTAGGTTAAAATAAGTTCCTGGCAAAGGACTTGTGTCCAGAATGTGAACTACGAACCATGAACTTCTGTTGTAATGTTGATTTTTGCTGTGAGGTTCCAGGGACAGTCATTTAACACTCTGGGTTTTTTTCAAAGTAAGTAACAGAAGTGTATTTGTCACAGCAGCAATACCAGATAATGTTACAGACTATGAAAACAAAGCAATACTTTGGATCAACTGCTCTTTTGGCTCACAGAGCAGTTTTACCTGGCCCAGAAGTGCATTTGACAGCAGCCAAAAGCAAATGCTTTGGATCAGACTTCACAAGGCATTCCTATTACAATGCACTTAAGTGCTTTGGTACTCATGAGGTATTTCTTGACAGATCAGATTCCAATTCTTCTGCAAGTTATAAGAAACATATTTTTCTTTCTCTGATCAGGGTGATCAGCTATGAAGAAGGGAAAGCTTTAGCAGAATCCTGGAACGCAGCTTTCTTGGAATCTTCTGCTAAAGAAAATCAGGTAATGGATTTAAGAGTCACTTTATTCAAATAGCAATGTAATGGATGACTCAGAGTTTCACTCAATAAAGGAAGCTAAAATATTTGCATGCACTGTACAGATATTTTGTGTAGATGGAAGCAGAACGGCTGTCTGCACTCAGGTTTATGTACACAAGTTTTTCCCTGCAACTGTCAATGGGAGGAGGAAGTGAAGAACTGAAAGTTCAGCTTCACTGAACACACCAGAACACTTAGTGACAAATTAAACTCACATCCACGGGGTGGGTGGAACAGGGTCTATTACCTTAAACAGGAATCACTGCTGCCAGAGCAGTGAGTTGGTGTCAGAGGATGAACCTCGTGTTTTAAGGTGCTGGGCAGGCTCAGTCTCTCTAATGGGGCAGTAATGATTTTGTTTGATGTTTATGGTCAACAATTCTGCAAGTTACTCGAGTAAAGTTGGATTTTTTCCCTGAAAGAAAAACTTGGATTATATTTTGCCACCAGATATGGAACACTTGGAGTTAGTTTATCAGGATTTCTGTTTCTGGCTAAAACTTGGATTAACCTTGTCAGAACTGGCATGATGGAAGCATGAAATTTCTCCATATCTTCTATGTATACTGGAGAGCTTCAAATGCATACCAAAGGAAATTAAACTGATAGTGTAAAGAACAAATCTGTTTAAAATGTCTGTTCTTGTTTTCCACCCCTTTATTTTAAATAACTTCTGGATTAGGCAAAGCTGTTGCCTGTGCTCTTTTTCATTTGGCACATATTCACAGTGTGCAACACCACAGCAATTCATATCCAGCAGAAGAATATCTTACTGATAACTTTTCTGGAGTTTTTATTGTTCTTGAAGCAAGAAGAAAAAAGTCATGTTTATTTATGTAAAGAAGCTACAAGCTTTGTAGGATGCTTGGTATGTCCTGTGTGTTAACTTGCTGTACTGACAAAGTCCCCTGTACTGCCATGTATTTGTGCTCCTTTATTAAGTTAAGCTGCCAGCTGGAGTTTATATCTCAAATGTGGTACCCTTCAGGGAAATCAAAATGGCAATTGTATGTCAGATTTTCAAAATCCTGTACAAATCCTACCAGAAGAATTCAGAAGTCCTGTGCATTCTGGCTGTCAAAGGTCTTCCTTTCTTCAGGACCCTTCAGAATAGTGATCACCGGTCGCTGTAAATTCCATCCCTCTGGGTTTAGCAGCAGGTTGTTAGAGGCAGGTGCCTGAACACAATTCCTGCTTCATGCCTGCTATATAATACACTTGGTAAATTTGTCCATCTTCAGAAGCCTGGCAGATCAGATGTCACTTCAGAGATGGGTGCCTGCAGCATGCGATCGTCCTGCAGGCTCTCTGGCTTGTTTCCTTTGGAGGCTTGGGACATGTGGAATAAAGTGTGAAAGAGCCTAACATTGGCACTGCTGCCTCAGTCTTCTCACACATCCCCAGCTCTGAAGAGGTGGAAGATTGAGTTTTGAGAGACAAGTGTGGAGTCTGGAGCTGTGGGGTGCTGGGGGAAGAGGAGACACCAGGCATTGTAACATCCCTCCCTGTGAGTTGGACCAGGAGCACTTCTGAACTCGTTTGGGTTTTCTCCTCCAAATCCTAATCTGACAGGATCAAAAGAGCTGATACATAGACTTCTGTCAGAACAGGGCATCTTCTCTTCCTCTGAAGCTGTGTCTGGTCTGGTGGGGGGGAAAGGGGTTTGTTTTGAATTTGGTAACAAGCTGTGTTGTCATTTTCCTGGTACTGACTGTTCACCTTACGTAAGCCAACATTACTGGAAAAAGAAGTCTGTTGGCACTTTCTGCATTGAGGTTCATCCAAATAATCACCTGTACTGGCTTGGTGCTGCAAATGTAACTTGACTATCCAGATTAATTCCAAAATCCTTCCAAAAGTGCTTCAGCTTCTGTTTGCTTAACAGAAAGCTGGTTTATGCTTAAGGCATGAGCTAAACTGGATCAAGGATTTGGAACTTGAGCAGAGAGTTCAAAGCTTCTTGACTGAGGGTATATCTCTTAATTCTCTCTGAAACCAAGCCCATCTGTATGTGGAGGATTTGGAGCAGAAATGTGACAATTTCTGGTATGCTGGTCTGAGATGGGTGGTGTACATGATGTTCTTCATAGTGGTGAGGAGAGGGGGAGTCCCTGATAGCAAAGGCTCTTTCCCCCCTTTCCTATCTTCCTCTTCTATCTTTGCCTCCCCATCCCCCAAAAAATCCTTTTTGGAGCATCTGTGAGAGCCCAAGGAGCATAACCCAGTTATACTGGGCAATTAAAATAGTTCTATAGATTAACTTAAACTATGCCTATTCTGCCAAGAGTTATCAAAAGATAACATGTCCCAGAAGTGGCATGACTTGCAGTAGATGGAAAGTGAGAGAGGCAAAGATTAAAGCTGCAGTGATGATAAATGATAGTGGCTGGCAGGAGTTCTCAAGGTCAGATAGACTTGAGTATGTGCCAGCTCCTCCAGAGCTGGGTGACCTGGTAGGGCTTTGGGAGGAGCCTGCATATCACCAGCACATCAGTCATCAAGGGAAATCCCTGGGCTTTGGGAAGGCAGTCCTGCCACTTAATGGAAAAGACCTCTCTGAGATGATTGCTGGGCTGTTTCTGTCATGTTTTCTCAAGCTGCTTAATTATTACCAGATATGTTGAACTGCTTTGGCTAACTTCAGGAACTTCAAGTTCTTTCTTGTGGAATTCCTTATGCAGCGTCACCTGGGCTGTGGTAGAGTGCTTCATCTTAATCCCAGTGCAATAAAGTCACTCTTGAAAATACAGCCAGAATCCAAAGTGGTCTTAAACCCAGGTGAAGCTGGAAGCCAACTTCTACTGGAAGAATTTAGGAAGTAACAAGCAACTAAATGCAAAATGCATTAGATAAATTGCAAAAGGAGCAAGGAAGTAGCAAAAAAATTTGCTTCTTACCAAAATGGAGCTCTCTTAAAAAGCAGTTGCTTGGTTGTGCTTCTTTTTTCAAGACCAGCTTCATCTTGGAGCTCAGAAGATGCTCTGCTTCGTAAATGCTTCAGAGTAGTTTGGAATTCAGGGATCTGACATGTTTGGACTGGCAAAGGATGGGGGGAAACAAGCCTCTTTTACCTGGCTGTTACTCAGATTCCTGTGCCCAATTCTGTGCTAGGATAAACCAGTAGTGTGAGCAGCTGAGGGTTTCCTCTTTGGAATAATAAAACAGTTGCCAAAGGGTGACTCCAGCACTGTGGGCTGGATTTGGGTGGTTGCACCTTCCTGCTGCCTCCTGGCAGCACATTCCCAACTCCCTGCCCGTGCAGGGAATCTGCCTCCTGAGCTGCCTGTCCTGCTCACACCGAGGGCACATCTGCAGCAGCAGCTGAGCCTCTGGTGTCCCCTGCTCACTGCTGGGCTCTGTGGGCAGCAGGTGTTGCCCAGGCTGGCATCTCTTTGCTTTGCTCGGGGAGAAAGGTGGAGGGAAAAGCCAGATGGCTTCCCGTGGGCTAGGTGTGACCCACATTCCATAATTGCACCATATGGAGGCAGATGCTTATAAAGTCTGGCTGCATCCTTTATTCTTTGTCACAAAACATCTTCCTGTGTTGTGTAAAGGCTCAGTCTAAAACTCCTCAGCACGTTTGAGCTGAATTACAAACTCCAAGGCGTTCGCTGTAGGACAGTAATTAAACCTTCCCAGTGAACACGTATTTTCTGTGAAATGAATTAACAAACCCTGTGAACTCCTACAGTGCTTCAAACAGCACATCTTTGACAGGCAATGTGCAGCTTTTTGGTTGACAGAGTAAGTTGTGGAGGCTTTTTAATGTGTTCTGTGAAACGTGGGCAAAAAGACTTCGTGTATTAAAATGAAACCATTGAAAATTTCAACTCTAAGGAAACAGTGGTGCAGCATGTTTGTAAATCAGTGTATCACCAGGTTTTGATTAAGGGAAGCTCTTCATTAGTGGAAGCAGTTTGATAGCAACTGCAGTCCTGGCTATGGTTCTCCTAAAGTCTTAATTTGCCCAGGAAATGTGTTGTATCATTACTGAACTAAATTAGCCTCTTCTGTCAGGTTCTGTTGGGATTCCAGGAAACTCCATTATATGGAAGAATACCCTATTTTCCAGCTGGTGAAGTACTTTAAATAGTTCCAGAGATCGTACTGTGCACAAACAGTATAAATGTAGGAAACTTTAACATTAAGTCTAATCTTGTTAAGATTGCTGTGGGGCTTCAGTCAATGAGATTAATTTGGAAGTGATCCAGTTAAGAATTACATCTTGTGGAGGTGGAAAAACATCTGTTAAATCAGAATATGTAGCCATAAATCACAGGGTGCTCTTCAGCCTACTGATTAAAACCAACAAAACCCCCTTTCCATCCTCTTTCTAGCATGACTGCTTTTATATAATGAATATATTTTCCTGTGCTGGGAATTGCTGAAGTGGATGGCCAGAGGTTGGATCAAATGTCCAACCATTTCAGGAGACCATTTTCAAGCTGAAGATTCACACACTGAAGCTCTAGTCATGCAGCTCAGGCTATTTAAAATGTAACCCCTTCTCTCTCAGGAGGACTTTATTAAAGGATGTTGCTTAATATTAGTGACAATTCAGCTTGTGCTTTCTGGTAGTGTCACTGTGTCTGATATGGATCTTACTCCTAGGGACAGTGAGGAAATCAGGGGTAGTAAAGTCACCCCTCATACTGAGCTGTGCAAAGTCAGTGTTGAGAGCTGAAAAATCTGCTGCCTTCTGAAATTATTCATTATCTTAAAGATTACTGAGAGCAAACTAATTGGATTATTCTCCAAAGCAGCACAGCATCCAAACCTTCTGTGCTGTCAGCCACTCAGGACAGGCTCACCATGCAAAGTAAGGTGATTACAGTTATTAGCTCTGGTGTGAATCTGGCTCAGTTTGTGCCTGCCCTCCCTGCTGAGGATTGCTGTGGATGGGGGTTTGCACTTTGAAACAAAAATTACTGTGTTTGCCCTCCTCACTTTCGGAATAAGCATTGGATGTGTGTTTAGCTGCTGATGTAGTTGCTAAAACTGCTAACGTTTTTTTAGTTATTCTTTCAGTAAGTGGGCAGCCCCACCTTCCCTCCTAAATGTGTGCTCTCTCTTTGCAGACTGCCGTTGATGTTTTTAAGAGGATAATTTTGGAGGCAGAAAAAATCGATGGGGCAGCTTCACAAGGGAAGTCTTCATGCTCAGTAATGTAATTCCACTGCAGAACCTGAAAACACTGGGAATACATTCTACCTGAAGAAGCAAAACTGCCCATTATCTTTAAGGATAAACTATGCTTCTTTTTTTTTTTTCCTTTTTTTTTTCTTTTTTTTTTTTTTTTTCTTCTGTTAACCTGAAAGATAAACAGTTGGTTTGGAGCCTTTCCCTTCAGATTATGTTAAACTCTGACTCCTGTGCAAATGGCTTCACTTCCATTTTTCAAATTTTAAGCAATCATATTTTCAATTTATATATTGTATTTCTTAATATTATGACCAAGAATTTTACTGGCATTAATTTTTCAGTGTAGTTTGTTGGTTAGAATAATCATCAAAATGATGCATATTGTTACACTACTATTAACTAGGCTTGGATATCAGTGTTTCTTTGTGTTAAATGTATACTTGTAAATAAAATAGCTGCAAACCTTAAATGTTCTGTTTATAATTTTTCGTTGATTACTCCATATCAACTTTTATTTTTTTTTTTTTTGTGAAAAATGTTCACCTGCTGACCTTAAGAGGAGGCGTGAGATCCTTGGAGCCAATGGATTGTTTGACTATTGCTCGGGAAGTTGTTTGCGAGTGATCCCAAACGTTTTTGCTACTGGAACTCCAGGCTGGCCAAGCAGCTCTGCTTTGCTTTGTGCAAAGCAGAGGGAAGGAGAGACAAGTGCCAGCTTTATTTGGAAGTCCTGGGTTTCAGTGAGAACCTGCTCTGTGTTTTTCCTCTGTAACGGCTGAGTAAAGGGTGCGCAGAGCCGCCCCGAGTTCCCGCGCTACGGACTGTTCACGCAGACTTGTGACTGGCAGTGCTGGCAGGATGGAGTGGATTTATCCAGGTCACAAGCGTAGACTTGTTAAGAGAACAAAAATGTCATTTAAAATAAATTGCACGTCCTGAACAAATCGGTGTGGGCTGTTTGTCGTGAATTCCTGTGCTCCTGTTAAGAGGTGAGCGGCCTCCTGCTGCCTGGCCGTGCACAGTCAGGGTTCCTGCACAGCTTTCCCTGACCATCGCCAGGCTTTTCCATGGCTTTTGGACTGGAGGCTTAGCAAGCTGTAATCTCCCAAATCTGGAAACAAACTACTTACAACTACGTATTTAAAAAATTTGCAGTTGACCTACTTTGTATTGAAAAGCAGAACAAAACCCAAAACAAGGCTGATTTGGGGAACAGTTAACTAAATGAAGTGTTTCGCCTGCATTTTTGTGTTCATTTGAAAACTTAATTTCTGACAGGAATACATAGGAAGGGAAAGCTGGAGTGTATTTGCAACCAGAATTAACTTTTACCTTACAGTCTGTGCTAAAAGATACAAATGAAGCATTTTGTTCCTTTATTTTCTTTGTGCAGTTGTTCCCTCCTATGATATAAAAAATTGTCTAAATCTCTTAGCAGTGTACATTGGGAAGCTTGGTATTTGGTCATCATGAGAGTAACTGGTAAAAGAAAAAAAGCCCTTTTTCTCCACTTAGGTATTTCCCAATGTTTCTGAAAACCCATTTTCCATGAATTCACACACCCTTGTGCCAAGCACAGGTTGAGTAGCTGGATGATTGTTATGCATGTTGGATTGCTGGAGTTCAGCAGAGAGTTTGTTCAGGGAAACGAGCCCATGCTTTGATTTTGGACCCAGACTGAGCTGGGGCTGTTTCTGCCCAAGAACCTGCAGCATTGCAGCGAGGGCTGCTTGGCTGGCAGTGGAATGGCTGAGGAGGATGCAGAGCATGGCCTGAGGAGCAGAGCACAGGGTGGTGAAGGTCTGTGATCCTTCAGTGCCCCATCCCCAGCACTGAGGAGCTGTTGCACGACCCGAGGCTGTGGCGTTGTGTCACGGGCACAGCGTCGTGTTCTGCGTCACAGGGTGGAAATTCTGGAGTAGCACAAACCTCAGTGACCACATCTGCTCCATTTTTTTGTCAAACTGGCTGCAGGTGTAATGGCATCAGTCTAACCCCCATAATAGCTGCTGCACTGCTTCTTGAGGCGTGCCAGCTGCTAAGAGTTTTAAAGGAGATGCATGAGGGCATGTGCAATTTAACAGTCTGGGATAACTGAAGTCCTGCCTTGCAGTGGTGAGGCTTTCCAGAAGGGCTTGCTTAAAGGCAAGTGCAGATTCTCTGGATGATTTGTGGTGGGAGTTTCTGAGACTTGAAAGGGACATTTCACAAGGCCATGTGTTGATAGGACAAGGGGCAATGGCTTCAAACTGCAAGAGAGTAGGTTTTGAATAATTAATAGGAAGAAATTCTTAAGGGCAGTGATACACTGGAACAGGCTGCCCAGAGTTTGTGGATGCTCCACAAAACCAGGTTGGATGGGGCTCTGAGCAACCTGGTCTAGCAGAAGGTGAACCTGCCCGTGGCAGGAAGGTTGGAACTGGATGGGCTTTTGGGTCCCTTCCAGCCCAAACAATTCATGCACTCAGCACTGAGATGTGTAGTGCTCTTGCATTTTCCATAATAGCTGAAGAATTGAGCTCATCCACATGTTATTCCCTTCCTCTTTCTGCTTCATCCAGTAAAAAATTGAAATTATTCCACTCGTCCAAGCCTTTGTTAATAAGATTTAAAGACCAGCCATGTGCAATAGTCTTGCAGTTCTGCTGAAATGTGTAGTCAAGCTTGATCAGTGAATTCCTCCTCATCCTTGGCTGTACACAGATTTCACTTGGCTTCTCAGGGTGGCACTTCAGCAGCTGGAGTCTAACAGAGGCTGGGGCAGCCTTGTGCTTGCTTGTCCTGAGCTGGCACAGGTTGGGTTCTTCACCCTGAGAGCCCTGAAGGTGAGGATGGGCAATTGTGGAAGTCCTGTTATGTACAGAAACAAAATACTGCTTTGTAGCAAACTGCTGCTTTCCTGGAGTTGATGAATTTATACAGCCTTGTTAAAGTTCTCTGATCCAGGCTAGAAAAATAATTATGTAGACTTAATAACCTTAAGTCACCTTAACTACTCTTAAAGTCATGTTAAGTTATCACTGACTTGATAACTTGATAACACTGATTTATAACGCCCTGGTTTGGAAGTGACTCCTGCCTTGCTTGTGCCCCTGTCCAGCTCCTGCTTTGCTGTGTGAATAATCCTGAGAGCCAGGGCTGGAGCTGCCCATCTCCCAGCCTGCCATGTCTGGAAATGCTCAGGATGAGTAAGGCAGTGGGGCAGGTGAGCTCAGCTGGGGGAGGATGGACTGCAGGTGCTAAATGGAAATTTTAAATTATTTTTCCTGTTGTTTCCATACCTAAACGAAGTTTGTCCCTGCCTGGTTAACTGGATGACAGGGAGTTTGGGGAGTCAGCTCTGGGTCTGTGGGGCCTTCTTTGTTGTGCTTCTTCCCAGCTTCTGTAGAGGGTTGGTGAGTCCATGCTGGAGAAGAAAAAAGCTGGAAAAGTGTTTTCATTGCTGCTGTGTGTCTGCAGTAGCAGTGCTGTCATATCTGGACGAGGTGCAGATGTCCCAGGTGCTGTGTGAGCACGGTGCAGGTGGTGATGATGTGATGTGCCCAGGCTTGCTGGGCTTACCCTGCTAATTAACACAGCTGAGCCTCTCCAGAAGGAGAAATCATCAGCTTCTAATTAGCCCTTATGTAATCAGGACTGCTCATCTTCAGAGCATTTTGCTAATACTGGCTAATCTTCACAACTTCATCTCATATGGTCAATATTGATTGCTCCCCTTTGACAACTGGGGAGGGGGAGTGAAAACCTTTGCACAGATCCCTTCAGCTATTGTGAGTATGCAGAAATGTGGCTAAACTGGTGTGGGTGATGGGTGTCCTTAGCATCCAACTTTTCCTTGGATATCCTGTTTCCCTATTTTTTGAAATACAGTGAAAAATGAAAGGATTTCTCCCCCTAGGCTTTCTGATGCTTTCCAAAATGAAGTCCAGGTCCCATCTCAGTCAGTTGCTGAGGTGTGTGATGAACCCTGGACAGAATATTACTGAAAACAAGACTGTAATTGGCTAAACCTGACCAGCAGGTCCCCTCTCCAAGGTGAGGAGCTGTTTTTCCTAGTAGGAATCTGGCCAGATCCATCATTTTGTGACAGGATTTGCTGAGTGTGAGGAGGCTTTTTGGAGTCCTTACCCCACAAGGGCAACACAAGGTGTTGCTGCCATGGGATGGGTGGTGGGTCAGGGTGTGAGATGGCCACCCTTGGTAGAGATATTCCAGAGATTTTTATGTTGTAGTCCATCCATGCTGAAGGCAACACACTGAACCCAAAGCCTGGCAGCTGATTCCCATTCCAGCAGCAGGTGATGTGTTCTGCCAGTGAGGGTGTGGGTTGGATGTTTTGCAGAGATGCTCTGCAGTCCCCCTGGCAGCTCTGGGAGGCAGCACGTGGTGCACTCAGGTAGAGGAGTGGGTTATCACCAGCAGAAATTGGTACTTGTGGCAGCTGGTCTGAGGTGGGCCAGCAAGCAGCGTGTATTTCACACAGAAACTCTCCCTTGAGTCCTGAGATGGTTTCTCACTCAGGTCTGTTGCTGCTCTGAGGAGTCCCACAGGATGTTCTCATCATTCCCAGCAGCAAGCCAACAATTTTTCCATGGGAAGGAGCAAGACCCATGGTTGTTTCATATTTAACGAGTTCAAAGTATCTCATGCTGAGGTATGTGAAAAATCTATGAGCTTTTCAAAGCAAGGTGGTGTTTTGAAAGACCTGAGCTAGGGATTTTCCGTGCCAGGTGTTAACACTGCTTTGCAAATATTACAGGCTCCTCCAGAAGCTGAAGTGTGACCCTTTCAGAGATGTGGAGCAACTCCTTGGCTGCTGCTCCATTACTGGTTATTTGTGTGGGGCTGTGCCAGCTGTAGGAGGTACCTGTGAGCAGAATGCTCATCCTGCTGAGCCTCTGACAGGGAATATTCCACTCACATATGTGAGGTCACTCCCAAAGATTCACCTCCAGGAGTCACACCCTGCTCAGCTCCCCTGGCTCTGGCCTGGACAATTTGGAGAGCAAATTGTCTCTCACCACTTCATTCCTCAGCCTTGTGGCAGCAAAGGCCAGCAGAGATAGCACAGCCTGGAGCTGCCCTTGTGGACACCAAACCCAATTCCTTCCTCTAAACCAAACCCACAAAAGAATCTCAGATTTTTGGGTTTTGGCTGTTGAAGCCAAATACTCAAGCTTACAAGTTCATTTCCAATGCTTCATCCTTTAAGCAGCCACAGTGGAGGAAAGCTGCCCACAACCCTTTTGCTGTGGGGCTCATGGTCAGATGGACCTGGGCAAGAGCAGGAGGCAAGAATCACTTGCCTGAAATGCTGTTTGTGGCCATAGGCTCCTCAGGCTGCTCTTTTCTCTCTTCCATTGGCAGCCTTTCCATCTTTGGCAAGGAGTTAAATGGCTTTGTCCAGGAATTATGATTTGCCATTCTCCCCTATTCTTTTTTTCCCCATCATTTTGCTTTTTTCTAGAGATTTTTCTTATTTCATATCTTTAACATGGTTTCTCCAAGAAATTAGGATAAAATTGCCACAACCTCTTTCTACCTCTCCTGAAATGGCTTTTGAACCCGTTGGACAATCTCTAAGAAATGTGACAGCTGGGCACAAGTCTCAGATTCAACAAGCTCTTGCACATTGAATTAAATGTCACACCTTAAGAGAAACAGGAAAATCCCCTCATGAGACAGAGCCAGAGGAAACCAGGCTTTTGTGGTTCCATAAAAATCCCCTGAGGCAGTGTTTGCTTCCCTGGGTGCTTTGGAGCAGTTTGCCATGGATACCACGGGTTTTGCCCTCCAGGCACCCAACAGCTCATGGCCAATGCAAAGAGTGCTTGAGCTCCGACCCCAGTGGGTGCAGAGCTGGCTCCCATGGTGCCAGCCCATTGTCCTCGTGCTCCCAGCCATGACTCAGAAGAGGGACACTTCTCCTTCCTTCCCAGGGCACTGACTGTCACAGGGAGTGCCTGGTTTTTGGGTTTTTGGGAACACTGCTGATGCCCCCCATCTTGGCTGCAGCTCTTCCAAGTGGGACTCTCTGCGTGCTGTTGGTTTTCCCTGCACCATCTGGTGATCAATTTAACACCTCAAAATTAGCACTGCTGTTTCAAAGAGGTTTTGGGCAGGGTTGGTTCTTTTAATCAGATGAGGGTTTTTCATTGTTTCCTGCCTCACAGCACAACAGATACGTGTGAGCCGTGTTGCTGGGATGCCAGGGCAGGTTTGCCTGCACCAGCTGGAGGATGTGTTTCCTTTGTGCCACTTTGTGCCACCTCTCTCCTTCCTCCTCCAGTGCATCCCAGTCAGTGACATCCTCTGGCTCAGCCTACGTGTGTCTGCACATGTGCTTATTAACTTTTACATCTTAATTGAAAGGGTGGCACAGGTTTGAGCCCTAATAATGACATCCTTTCTCCTGAAGCAGTCTTTACTCTCAAGATGAAGCAGTGAGCTGAGGCAGGCTGCTGGCACACCTGAGGATGGGAGCAGCCTGCCAGGAGAGGAGGTTTTAGGTTCCGATTTGGAGCCTGTTCCTGATGGTCCAGGGAGAGAGGTGGCAGCAAGGGGAGGCGATGGGGGGCCAGTGAGTGAGAAGGAGGATTCAATGAGCAGGAGCTGCATGTGAAGTCTCTTCCAGAGCTATTAAAAAGCATAAAAGCACAAATCTCCTTTTAATGTGGCCCCTTGGTATGTCTCTGCCTGCTGGTCCATGGGCCACCCCCATGCATCTGCCTTTACTCTTCCTAGCCTGGCTCGTTAGCATAAACTGATGGGATTTATGGGCTGGGAGCTTCCTTTGCTGTTTGTCCTGGGAATATGATAGTTAAAAATCTCTGGATATTCTTATAACACAAACAAGGACTTTATGGTCCCATATAGCTGCAATATAAGTTACTTTAATATGGTAACTTTATGGTCCAAAAGTTCCTCTAATCCTGACTTACAGCTGTGAGTCAGGGCTTCAGTGCTGGAAGATCAAAACATTCCTGAGAACGATGCTCGTGAGTAACATCAGTGGGTTTGTGAGGCCAGCCTTTGTGCTTTGGAGGGGATCAGGTCCTTGGCTTTTGGAGGTGCCATTAAGAGAGGTTCAAAGGTTAAATGAGAAACCATTGGTTTGACAGATGGAGTGCAATGTTTGTTGGTGGGGAGTCTTCAAGGACACCCTCTCTTGGCTGCCACGCTGCAATAGGTGGGAAGAAGCTGGGAAAAAGCAAACCTGACACAGAGAAATTATGTGCCATGCTTAGAGATGCTGCTGTTTCCTCATTTACTTGTTATCTGTTCTGGGGGAAAAAAAAAAGAAAAAATAGGGGAAAACAGAGGGGGGAAGTAAATAAGAAACAGAAACAAAGATGAAAAAAGTAAAAAAAAAAAAAAAAAAAGGCCCCGCCGGCCCCCCCGGCGGCCCCTATATAGCGGGGTGTCCAAGGGGCTGTCCATCGCCGTTCTGCCCTGGCTCCCGCTCTTGGTCTTGGGTAACAGCCAGCAGAAAATGTCTCAATACTCAGGAAAAGTAAGTAGCGACTCCACCGCTTCCCTTTCAGCCCGGGGCCGGAGAGCCGGAGCATCCTCTGGGTGGACGGAGCTGATGAGGGTAATAGAGGCAGCAGATGTGGTGTGAGCGGTGATCCCGGGAGCAAATTTGGTAGGAGGGATGATGGGGAGGGTGTGGCAGAAGGAGCTGCATTTCGGGAGGCGAATTTCCTGTTTAAACATTCCTTCTGGAAATATGTGTGAGTGAGCACGAGGCGGTGAGAAGTGTCACAAATGCGGGACGCACTGCCTTCCCAGAAAAACAAATACGCTTCTTAGGAAAAAATGCCAGTGATGCCGTGCTCCTTTTGCTGGAAAGCAGCTCAAATAACCCAAACCACCCTGAAATGATGCATCTGCAAGAGATTCCCATCTGCTTGGAATGGGAGTCCGGCCGTGTCCCTGCTCCTCAACGCGGGCCCTTTCTCCTCCTCCCCCCAGATCACTTTCTACGAAGGCAAATGCTTCACAGGCAGGAAGCTGGATGTCTGTGGCAGCTGCAACAGCTTCCAGGACCAAGGTTTCCTCAACCGGGTCAACTCCATCTGTGTCCAGAGCGGAGCTTGGGTCTGCTTCGACCACCCCGACTTCCGAGGGCAGCAGTACATCCTGGAGCACGGCGAGTATCCCGACTTCTACCGCTGGAACGGGCGCAGCGACCACCTGGGCTCCTGCCGGCCCATCGGGATGGTGAGTGCGGTGTTGCTGCTGTTGGGTCTCCCAGCCAGAGCACTGTTGGGTTTGGTTTATCCTGGTCACAGGAGCCCCACGATAAGAGCCATAAAAAGGTGTGTTCTGTAGGAATAGGGTGTCCCACTGAGTAGGAAGGAGATTCCTGGGTGGGTTTGTCCCCGTTCAGAGCGGTCTCTGCAGGCCACAAAGCTGAGACAGTTTCCTGTGTCCCCAGAGAGGAGGAAGATACATCTCCTTCCTCTCACAGTGAAAAACACAGTGCCTTTAAGAGGGTGAGATATTCCTGTGGTTTTCCAGATGAGATGGCAAGGTCCTGCTGGTACCATGTGGTTTTCCTTTTAATGTAAGCTGCTGTGAGATACTCTTGGGGGAATTCAGAAGGAGATTCATTGCCCAAGGCAAGTTTGAGCTGCAGCTGCTCCATCTCCCCACGCACCCAAAGCGGGAGAGGGCAGCCCAAGGGCTTTCCAACCTGACCACAGGGCTGCTCCTAGCAAATTTTAGTTAAATTCTCTGCTGTTGCAAACCACACTCTGACCCCGATAATCCTAAACTAAACCCAGTATTTTCCCTTACCGTTATCAAGCTTTCAAAAGCACTGTCCAGAGGAAGGGTTAAATGGGAAGATTAAAAAGTAAGAAAAAAGAGTGTGGGTTGGGTCTTTCCATTGATTCTCCTGCCACGGAGGGCCTCTGGGGCAATGATGAGCCCAGCTGGAGCTGGTGGGATTTCTCACTGGCCCTGAAACTGCTTTTGGCACAGCAGCAGCTCTGTTTCAGGTCTGTAACATCATTCCTAAAGCACCTCCATGATCCATACGTGGAGGGATGCTCTGGCCCAGGCCCTGGACCTTGGCCAGCACAAGGATGTGCTCCTCCTTTCCTGGCCCAAGATTTTCCCTGTGAGATGCCAGCAAGGGCTTGGAGGCGTTTGTGCAGCGCAGATTCCCAGAGGAATGTTTGCTCAGGCCCGGTATCCGCCTGGCTGCTGCCGGCGCTGCCTGCTGTGGGGTTTGGCATGGCAGCCCGGCCTTCTTGTGTGCTGACGTTGTTTATTTGAAAAATGCCTTTAGGTATTCTTTGAATTTGGCTTAAAAATATCCTTTGAGCTCACTCTGTCCCACATAGCTCTGCCACAGGCTGCAGAGATCTCCCCAGAGTCATTTGTGACACGTCAAGGGCTCACGCAGCAACAATGATGCTGGGAAAGTTTCCTTTTCTCCCCCCTGTTTTTATTTTCCTAAAAGAAAGGCAAACATCTCTCACGAGGAACAGCAGCTATGCATGAAACTGCAGGCAGCACTAATTAGCTTAGGGGAATACTCCAACATCTTTGTACACTCGGGATACGTTTCTTTTTTCCTGTTTGGGTGTGCGGAGCGTCGGGGCTGCAGCTGATGCTGCATTGGGATGGAGGGTTTGTGGGCTGGTGGGGGGATCTGCAGATGGATGAGGGGCTGTGTGTGCCTGAGCACTGGCACCCCACGATGTGTTAGCACGTGGACAGCAGCGCAGGAAGGTGCAGCTGGGCACGGGCTGAGGGATTTTTGGCTGCTTTCATGGTCGGTGTGCTGGGAGGCAGCACGAGTTTGTGCGCGCTCTGTTCATGCTGGCACCAATGGTCTTGGATTGCTCCTCACATTCCCTTTCCAAAGCACCCTTCTGTCTCCCTCTTTGTCTGACAAAAGCCAGAGAAATAATTTGTTGTGCTTTTTTGGTGTTGCTGTTGACTCCAATCCCTTTGTCCCCAGCACGGCGAGCATTACAGGATCGAAATATTCGAGGGGAGCCATTTTAGGGGTCCCAGCCTGGAGCTGACAGAAGATTGCTCCTTCCTGCAGGGACAAGGCTGGGACAAGGCCTGCATCAATGCCCTCAAAGTGTACGGCGACGGCGCGTAAGTGATTCCACGTGTCCTGGCATCAGCCACTGCCACGCTCCCTGCCCTGGGCACTGCAGGGGACAGGGGGCTGCAGACACTCCTCCCTCATGGAAAACCCTGTCAGTGCTGGGGGCACTTGGAGAAAGCCTAAAAATGTTTGTTAAGCCTTTGGTTAAAGGTGAATGTTGGTGCCTGCCCACTGTGAGCTGCTTCAGAGGGGTGTGACTTCTGGAGGGTGGCAGCAAAGCACGAGTTACAGGAACTCTGAGACACCTTTTAAAGGTGTATGAAATGAGAAGCCTACAACCATCTCCTTCCTTCCTTCCTTCCTTCCTTCCTTCCTTCCTTCCTTCCTCCCTCCCTCCCTCCCTCCCACACCTCTTTCAACCCATGCTGGAGCTCTCAGGGAAGTTGGATTGATGGTCCCAGGTGATACAAGTCAGGGCTTTTGCTTTGAAAGTGGCCTCACCACACCTTTTCCTATGATGGCAAAACTGAGGCAGCAGCACCTCCCCTTTCCATTAAATCCTGTCTCTGAAAGGCAGGGCTGGCAGCCGTGGTGATGCCCAGATTGAGGCTCAGCCCCCCTCCTTGCCCTGCAGATGTTCCTGAAAGCCTGGGCAGAATGCCAGTTTTGCCTTTTCCTTGATGTTTGGTGGCAGTTTGTGTTTTCTCAATGGTGTTGGTCCTTTTTGTGGTTTTTTTTTTTTTTTTTTTTTTTTTTTTGTCAGACAGGCTGTTGTCTGTCTCCCCTTTCCTCTGTCTGACTGCAAGTGTGCTGGGAGCTGGGGAATGCCATAACACCTTCCCAGAGCCAGGCAGAGGGTGGCTGGGTCAGAGGGAAGCCCCTGCAGAGGAGTGAGCACAGATGCCTTGTTCTTGTTCTTCACCTGTCCTAGACTGGATGTTGTGCAGCTCACAGACACCTGGTGTGACATGCTGCACCCTTTGTGCCCTTTTTTTCCTCTTTTTTTTTTGGAAGAATAGGGAAAGGTTGTTGCCATCAAGACATCCTGACAGCAGCAGGTGTCCTGCAGGAGTCTTTCTGATCCAACCAAGGCCTCTCCTCTTCCAAAAATCCAGCCTTATGATTAGGCAATGGTGGTTCATTAAGGAGCAGAGCTAGCCACACCTGACAGGAAGAAATGGTTGGAGCCCACCAGGGACCCTGTTAGTGCTGAGCATTTGAGTACCAGCACCACAAAGCCCAGAGGGAGCCTTTGACTACTCTGGCAAGAGCTTTAGGGCCAATTTACTGCTTGGGTCCCTCTAGCAGAGGCTGAAGCTTGAGAAATTGGGAAGCTGCCCAGAAACTTTCAAGCACTTGAATTTTTCAGAGTGATTTTCCCCCTCCACTACAAAATATATAAAGAGCACAAAGCTTGCTCTCCCTCAAATGAGAATCTGGATTGTTTGTGTTAACATTACAGGACTTCTCAAGGTCCATGAATAGTGAGAAAAAATTGGAAAAAAAAAAGCACAGAGAGGAGCATGGTGAGGAAACTCGCTGAGGTTTGTAGCATTACATTCAGATCCTGGGAAGATCAGTGTTGGACATGCTTGGAAAGGTCTGTAAAGGCAATTAAAGGCAGGACAATGCAGAGGGACCTGCTGTCCCGGGCTGCAGGAGGAGAGAGGGAAGGATGAGATACCACTGCAGAGAGGTGAGAGCAGGGAGAGGTAGGGACCCTGTAGCACCACTTTTCTCCTTTGGATGGACCTTCTAAACCCAGGTGCCTCCAGAGGTGCAGCAGGTGTAGATGGTGCTGGCCAAACTGTCCCAGGACTCATCCTTGGATGTCTGGGGGGCAGAGGAGATGGGGTCAGTGGAGACAAAGGGAATTTCAGCCACAGTCTCCCTCTGTGATTTTCACCCTCAATTCCCACAAAACGACATCTGTTGGATACAGAAATATTTGTTTCCATTTCAAAATCCATGGATGGTGTCATGTGCTGATAAAAAGTTGCTGCCTGCGCTTTGTGGAGGTGGCTGTGCCCGCGGGAAGTGATGATGGATCAGCTGGAAACATGGCAATGGAGACAAACATCGGCCTTTGGCATGGGGCATGGTGAGCCAGAGGGGGTCCAGCACCTTCCCTTCTGCCTTTCTGGGGTGGGCAACTGCTACCCCCACAGCCAGAAAGGGTGATGGTAAAGCTGTTTAAGGCACACTGGCGGTGAATTGCTATTTCGGAGCAGTTTTGAGGTGTCACCGCCTCCTCGGAAGCTGTTGCAGGTTTGTGGTGAGTGGCTTCGCCCGTCCCACGGCACAGCCAGCTCCAGTATCACATATGGTATCATCTGATTTTAGATGAAGATGTGTGCTTCTTGTCCTCCTTTGTGCCTCAGCCACTCCACAGAGCACGGACTAGAAACTGCAGTTTTAAAAAGCTGAATTTGTTTTGTGGCCCAGGAGAGAATACCCCAAAAAGAGCTTTTCTACACTACAGTGGAATAACCTGAAGGAACCAGACCAACCATTTATTCTGCTGAAGCATTCATGAGTGCTTGGTAGCTGCTCTGCAGTCAGGTTGCAAAATACAAAGCAGGACAGGTACCCAAATACTGCTGCCCAATGAACATCACATATTTCTCAGCAAAGGTGCAACTCTCAGTTTCTTGTGCAACTGCTCAAGTCCTACATGGAGAATAAGTGACTTTGAGCTCCACTGAAAGCCTCCTGCTTGGTTCAGGCAGATGCTACAGCATTCCCCTCCTCATTTTTCAGTTGGAGCAGCCAGTGTTGGCTTACAGAGTTTGAGCTAGTTCCATGAGCATTTTATTCCCATGTCCGCTGGGATTATGTGCTAATGAAACACAGCACTGAGATGTTTGAGGGCTGTGTGCTATGTGCCTGGATCAGCTCTCTCATGCTGGGCTTGAGGACAAGATCATCTCTTTTTTTTTTTTTTTTCTGGGCTCCTGACTGACTTGATTTCCCCTCTTGCTGATGGTCTCAGAGAACGTAAATTTTAGGCAATAAAGGAACAGCTAAGTAAGCCATACAGTCCTTCACTCATCACCTTGCACTGCCAGCACAATTCACTCCCATCTTTCTGCTATTCCTTTTATTCCTTTGGGTTTTTTCAGCCCTCCCCTAAGCAGAGGGACAAGTCAGGGGGGGTTCTTATCACCACACCAGGTCACTCAGTCTGCTTATCTACACCAAAGCCTATCCCATTCCCTCCATGTAATGGTGCAGACACATCAACCATGTGTCTGGAAAGAAATCTTGGGAAAGACAGTGACTGTGAGGTGCTGCTCTTCCCCCTGCTCTATTCCCCAGGGTCCACATGTCATTAAAAGATGCCCTAGAGCAGAAGAGCTGAAAAGAAAGAGAAGGAAAATTTTATGAATTGTGGTTAATTAAGCTGAGGACGCTTTCTGTCAGTGCACACTGGGATACGTGGTGGGGGTACCCTACACTCACAGGTGAGCAGTGGGCAGCCTTCCCCACATGCTGCAAAGGGAGCATCAAAGCAAAAGGCTGAGAATGATTTTGTAATTCCAGTCTGGGATACAAACTGGCTGCAACAGGTGCCAGAGAATGATGTTGTTTGTTTGCAGGAACCACGTGTCAGCAGTGCCAGGGCTCTGGTACTGCAGGATGCTCTTTCACAAAACCAAGGCACAGTATTCCATGCTGGTATCCACAGGCTGGTCCTGCACAGGGATCTGGGAGAAGGGACCACCACAGTCCCACCTCATGTCCTCTCAGAAACACAACACAAATATGTCAAGGAACCTGTAAGGTGCCTTGGATAAATACCCCAAATTTTCTTGTTTTGTTTTTTTTTTAAATAATGCCTGTGGGTGGCTGGTTTTATAAACAATTTTTCCTAAGCCTCCAGCTTTTTGCTTTGGGTTAGACTGATCTGAGTTCACCAGCTGTTCTCTGACCCTTAAGGCCCAGCAGTCTTTGACCCCTCCAGTTCCTGAAGAAGTTTCCCCCTGGAAATCCCACAAACAGTAGGTCCCAACCCCAGTGTCCCAGCTGAATTCCTGCAAAGACAGACCACAGAAACCAAATTATTTGGAGGATTGCATTTCTGCTTTGCTGTCATTGCTGAGCACTGAATAAATGGGAAAAGCAGCAGAGATCCTCATAAAATCTTAAAAAATATGGGGATGAGAGGAAAGAGGCAGAGATGAGCAGCTCAGCAATGGCAGGGTGGTGACCTGACTGTAAAAATGTCAGAGCAATGGCAAAATTTGGTTAAGAAGCATGGGAGATTCTCATAGAGGATAGGGGTGACACTTGTGGCCACAGTAAGATCATGTGAAGTGAAGGGACAGAAAAGCAGCAAAATTGTCCTTCTTGGCCATCAGAATTGCTCCTGACTTGACCTTCAAATGGAGAAAGACATGTCAGAAGCCAGGGCGATGGAGAGCAATGTAGCCAAGCCAGGTGAAGAAATCAGGCATGCCAAAACCACCAAGGTTATTGAATGTTGTATCCATTTGACTGCATTCCAGGGGAAAGTTGTCATTAACTCTGGATGTAGAGATAAAGTAAAGATAACAAAGCCAAGCCCTGCTCTCTGTTGGAAAGCATCAAAGAGGCCATTAAGAATTATTAACAAGGAGAGAAATTACTAAATATGGTTCCCATCACAGCTAATGAATCAGTTCAAAGAGGCAAAGCATCCATCAAGCATTGCATGTTTCTCCTTACAGTCCCTAAAAAAGGGGTTTATGCAGGGGCTGAGGGGACTCATGTCCTTCTTTAGCACTCTCAAATGCTATTAAATTGTTCCTGTTGCACATGGTGGAGCTCAGAGAGATCCATTCCTACAGTAATGCGAAGCAGGGAGCCCTTGGGCCCAGGCTTTATTGCTGGTGTAACCCAAAACATCTTCCAAAGGCAAGGTCCAACCTGGCTTTGGGTGTTTGCCATGCTGGGGGGAGCGGGGGAGGCGCCCACAGTGAACTCCACCAGGAGCATTTCCATGTGCGGGGTGGGACTGGGAATCAGGCCCTGTGGTTTGCAGTGCAGCAGTGCCTAAATGCAGCCCCTCGGAGCAGCCACTTTGCAGGAGCACGCTGCTGGGGCCCAGGTGACCCCCTCTTTGTGCCCAGGTGGGTGCTGTACGAGGAGCCCAACTACCGAGGCCGCATGTACGTGGTGGAGCGCGGCGAGTTCAGCAGCTTCAGCGAGTGGCAGGCGCGCAGCGCCAGCGTCCAGTCCATCCGGAGAGTCGTCAACTACTTCTAGCTGAGCTTCCACCCTGCCTGCCATGGCCTGCTGAGACTGAGCATCACCCTCCTCCCCTCTCACTGACCCCTGGAATAAATTGTTAAACACCAGCTGTTGGCTCTAAGCAGTTTTTTTTTAATATAACTGAGTTCATGAGAGAAGAGGCTCGTAATCTTTCTAAGCTTGATTTACATTATGCTGCGAGTTTGCTTTCTTATTCTGCAGTGGTTTATGAGGAGGATATGGGAGGATGGGCCAGAACTGGTGTGACACGCAGACCTAGAAGATGCCTGCTGTTGTGGTTGTGCTCTGACACATGTTCCCTCTGCCCCGACCAGGGCCACCGTGTGATGGCCCCAGCTGACTCCAGTGCCTGGAGGGGATCACATGGATGCACACATGGGTGGGGAGCACAGACTCAGAGCCATTGGGAGCCATGTGAGGACACACATGGGGATCATAGCAGGAGCTGAGCGACTTGTGGGGTCTGTCTGAGCCTGACATGCTGGTCTTGATAAAAAGGTGAAAGCCACCATTCATCCGGAGTTACTTTAACTTTAGATCAGTACACATTAAAAATATATAATAAAAAAACCCCGTGCCTGAAGGCACAAAACCTGAGCAGCCTTCTCTTCATTCCCAACCCTTCATGACAATGACATTTTGAGGGATCAGCAGCAAAGGGAAACAGCCACTGCACTGCCATTTATTTCACAACCCCCTTCCCATCTTTCTGTCCCTTCAGTGTTCCTGGTCCATCCCAGTTGTTTTGGTGTCCCTGAACCCCATTCCATGGCTGGCAATTGGGATGGGAACCACTCTGCCCCTTCAGCTACAGACTGTCCACTGCAGCCTGGGCACTTCCCCTGCCATGAAGCCCCCAACAGTGCAGTAGCCTCTCTTCTGTAAAATCATAAGCTGTGTTCAGCATTAGCTAGGGTGTTTCTGGCTATTTCAGAAAGGGGTAATTTTATTCTCTTCACTCCGTTACTCTATTAGCTGTTAAGCCTTGGCTGTCTGATAGATCCTGACAGGCGCAGGCATGGTGCCGGCAGAGCTGCAAAGCTCTGTGCTAATCCAGCGGGAAGGCTGCTGATGTAACCCCAGCCCCAGCCCTCTGAAGGGACATGAGTGAGGCTGACAGGTCCCCAGCACACTGGAGCACGAGGCATGTGTGCCCTCAGTGCTGCTCTGCTTTGCAGCCATGGGAATCTGCCCTTCCCTGAGCGACGGGGAGGAGCAGGACTGTGCTCTGTGCCAGGGGCTGCTGTGTCCCGTGCTGCATCCCAGTCTGACACTGGATCCACCTGCCATTCCACCAGCTCACACTCATCCACTTGGATCTTGGCTCCCTGTGGCTCTCCACCAGCACCAGGGCTGGGGTGACTGGTAACAGCTGGGCCTGCGTGAGGACATGTGCTGTTCCCATGATCAAGTGACACTGTTGGTAGAGTTGCATCGATTGAGATTTGCCCCACATGCACATGTGCTGTATATGTGTCATGAGGGGGTATGGAAATGCAAAAAAAATTCCACCTTGTGAATTTAACAGCAGTTTGGGTGATGTCTGCCTTAGTAGTGATACAGATAATCATGCCTTCTTGTAGACAGCCTGTTGTCTCCATGCAAATCATCACAGCAGCACTTACAGTTACACCAGCTCAGCTCTGGACTGCAGTGGCCATGTCCTGGGTGGCTTGTGGTGACACGGTCCATTAGAGCTGTAAAAATATTTAAGATCTTTAATGGGTTGCAAGGTATTTCTGTGTCAGAGAAGGCAGGGAAATGATTCATTCATTGAGTGGGATGCACAAATGTACAACTCGTGCATCAACTCTTGCGTATTTCATTTTCTTTTAATTAGATGCAGCTTATGAAAGATTTTAGGAGTCCTTCCAGGATTAGCATTGCTCTTGCCTCATGAAGGCTGTAATCGGCTCCTGAGCAAAATGCACTCTATTAAAAGTTAATATCCAGTCGTATGCAGTGCTCTCTGTTGTGACCTCCTGGACATTAATCTGTTAAAAAAACCTCAAAGTGGTCCCAGAGAAAGACAAGCATCGAATTGTGATGAGCTTTAAAGGAGGTTTTTCATTCATCTGAAACACATTCAATATCACAGTGCAGTATGAAGGATAAAGAAACAAAGGTTTTAAAATATACAATAAGTGGAGCCCCAGATGCTCCAAGTATTTGGGGAACAAAATAAAAGAAAACAGAGAACAACCACCCACCCACATTCCCCTGGGAATAAGCCCAGACACCCCCACATCTGGGTCTCTCAACACTCAGTGCACACAGCCAGGGGAGGTGACTGTCCCACTGGTGTTGGGGTCAGAGCTGTGACATCACAGATACTCTGCTGTGTGGCTTCCATGGTCAGTGGTGCAACTCCAGCATTAGAGGGATCCACTGACATCCCTGCCCGTCCTCAGTGGGAGCGTGGGACTGTGCACGTACACACAGCTGTACAGGCTGACTCCAGCATCCAGCCACTGTGTGCAAGCCCACTTCATCTACACACTTCAAACTAATTATTTGTTTATATGATCTAGGAGATTAATATTTGCTGCCTAAATTGTGGAAGTATGCTTAGGATCCCAGTCGTGGACTGAGTCATGCCTTGTGCTAGGAGTCAAAAGCACAAAAAACGCAGTCTGGTTAATCTGTGCTGTTGTGTGGAACCCTGTTTGTAACCAGCGAGTGTTTAACTACCTATAGCACATTTTACACAAGTCTGTAATATGCCTACAGAGTAAACACTCATCATTTATTGACATCTGATATCCCATTTATGAGCACACTCTCGATGCCAAGAGCTGGTCCCATGTGAAGACTGTTTAAAAAATTCTTCTGTGTGCACAAGCCTAATCTCACTAAAAACTGGCAGCAGGGAATTGAATACTATCTATTTTTTGCTTATTTGAAACCTAAGTAGGGTGGCCATGGGCCTAATCCAAACAGTGATGCTGCAGGAACATGCATTGCGTTGGCAGCGGGGGGACGTGGCTCTCGTTCTCTTCCTTTTCCCTCCCCCTCCTTGCTAAATCTGCACTTGTTCAAAGGACAGAACGTACAGATCCCATATGCTTGCTAGTGGCTTGTTGGTGGTTTTTTTCCCATTAAAAAAAAAAAAAAAGAGATTATTGACATTGCTCTAGTATGAAATGACATGATTTGTGAGTTTATAGCGTATAAAATATAAATGACAAAAATGCCAGCTCGATGTGAAGTGGATGTGAGATTGTGCAGCAAAGGTTTGAGCTGCACGTGGTTAAACTGTGTGGCTGAATGAGCTCTGCTACGTGAACCGAGGAGGCAAGCAATGGATTAAGGAAATTGGAAAGTGTTCCACAAAACACTGAAGATGAAATGAAGATTCAAAATGAACAAAAGGGACAAGTTATTAATTACAAGAGAGAGAACGAAATGAAATCAGCTCCATCTGGAAAACCAGGAAAACCCTAATAATCAGCGTTACTGTGCTTGGCTAAGCTGCTGCAGTGTAATATTCAGAATAACTTTGAATTACATATGGCCCCAAAGCAAATAGCTCCTGCCAGAATGCCTGCACACACGAACGTCCTTTCTTTGTAGCTGGATAATGTGCAAATGTGATGGAATATCTCTTTCAAATGAATCCTTGGAAGATATCTGAGGAACTGCAGTGCTTTTGCCTTGCTATACTACTTGGCACATGTAGATATAGTGAAGGTAAGGAGGAAACTGCCTACTGATCCACTGTTGGCATGCGTGATGTTGTCATGTTCAAACCAGTCTCTCCTCACTACTTACAGAGGTGAAAGGGCTGCCCAGCCACCACCTTCCCTGTGGAATCAAAGAGGTGTTATTCTGCTATCGAGGCTGCCCCACACTCACACCTTCCTGTGCTTTTTTCTCTCCTCCTCCAGAGACACTTCTCTGGACCTGGTAGAAATTAGTTCACTCCTTGGTGTCTGCTAGAGCTGTTTTATTACTTCTTTAAGTAGGAAGTCTGGCTCAACAGTGACCTCTTTGACTGAGTGCAGAAAGGAAATGAAGAGCTTCAAAAGGTCTCTCCGAAGTCTGGCACCAGCAGGAGAGCCCTGGCCATTGTTAAAGCCTAAGCAATGGCAGGGTGAAAATGTAGAGAGAACACAGTGATTGGGCTCTGGAAGAGGCTGCCCAGAGAGGTTGTGGAGCCTCCTTCCCTGGAGATATTCAAAAGCTCTTTGGACACAGTCCTGAATAATGTGCACCAGGGGACCCTGCTTGAGCAGGCAGGTTGGAGCAGATGACCTCCACTGATTCCTTCCAACCTCACCCATCCCGTGATTCTATGATACCCAGGACCATTGACAGACATTTGGTTCCCATGCTTCATCTAGTTTGGTTTTCGCTTACTTTTCTTTACACATTTTCTCCAATTGAAGTCGAAGGAAAATTAACTTGGGTGAAAACACATTTGGCCTTGAAATTTTTACTATCCATGGGCTCAAACCCTGTCGAGGAATAAATGTGATCTTTTCTTTACACATTTTCTCCAATGTTGTATTGAAGTCAAAGGAAAATTAACTGGTGAAAACACATTTGGTCTTGAAATTTTTACTACCCATGGGCTCAAACCCTGTCGAGGAATAAATGTGATATGCACACTTGTTTGTTTTTTTTTTTGGTTTTTTTTTTTTTTTTTTGGGTTTTTTTTTTTTTTTTTTTGTGCCACTGGAAACCAAGAGCTTAGAGAGAAATAGCAAAAGACTGTTCATGGGACAGACCTCTTCCTTGCACGCTTTGCACTAAAACCAGTCCCTTACATGCACATGAACCAGTGCTACAGCATCCATAAGGCACCTGCACACAACTGAGCCCTCTCTGACACAGAAACACACCCAACATTATGGGCTTCCTTTAGTCCTGCAGGGCAAGCTGCACAGAAATCCTGCTCTTAAATCAAGTTTTCAGGAAGACAAAGCACAGTGTGGGCCACTCCACACACAGGGCTGACCTGCTAAACTCTGTGAGTGCAACAGCTGCTCCAGCAATGTAAGTGGGAATCAAAACTGCTGAGATTTGCAAAACTTTGTGTGGTTGTCTTTGGTTTTCTTGGCTGGTAATGCAAGA